GAAGAAAGACAAACTAAGAGCCAAATCATATCACCCATTAAAAATCCGGGACTTAATATACATGCATCGCCCAAAAATGCAAAATTTACTAGTCTCGTACTCTCGTTACCAAAGTTATCTAAAGAAATTTCTTCGGCAGATGTGAAGAAAAAGTCAAAAGAGATTCTATTTGGCCAAGGTGTGAATGATGTACACCTTATTAGAGTGGTCTTGCCCACACCAGGTGGCCCAATGACCAAAATGGAGCCTCCACCTTCGACTAAGTCCCGTATGATCTCAGCACTTCCCGACACAGCTCGTCCCACTCGGCAAGTAAGTCCTATAATCTGCATTTTACGATTCCTAATGGCACTTATTCGGTGCAGAGAGTGATCGATTCCCGAACGATTGTCATCCGAGAACTCACCTACCTAAAACACCATCAATCAATCATCACCCTAAAAACAAGATTCTATTTCTACAAACCACAGTGACAAAACACAAACAAAAGCTGTATAATACTATTATCCAACAACTGTCCTATATACTTTCATAAAAACAGAACAATGCACAATATAGAATGTTCCACAGTAAGCATATATAGCCACCAAATATCCTATCAAAAAAGCCCAAATACTCACAGATCACACAAAGGAATTTTTTAATCAACCTTAGAGATGGCGTGGCGTAGGTCCTCGAGCTTCACCGGAAGCTGGGATACGACCCAATCGCCAGACGGGAACCGAGCAATCGGCTTTCTCCCCAAGTCCATAACCACCTCAATGAGCTCCCCAATCTCACCGTGCCTGCAAAGCTCGGCCCTCATCCTCAGCGGCACTATCTCCAGGAACAAGTCCATGTCCGACACCACCACCTCGTCCACTCCACGGGGTGCGCCGGATCCTGGCGCCGCGCTCGGGAAGAAAGACAGCAGGTTTCCCAACGCCGGCCGACGGATCTCAGGCTCGGGCGAAGTCCCGGACGACGAGATCCCGGCGCGGCGAACCCTGCGGATTGCCGTCGGGAAGGTGAGCCCCGGCGGTTTCCGCTGAGACGGGCACCACGAAGCGTGCAGATCGATCTGCAGGAAATGGGAATTGAGGGCTCTCATTTTCTTTTACTTTTCGATTATTTTTGGCTTACACTTACCTTCACTCGAGCTCGAAACAAAAAATCCACAGGTATATATTACTGTGGATTAAAGAGAGCTAAAGAAAGAAGGAAAGAATCGAATGAAAGGTTATTTGGAATCTCTCTCCCTATGGCAATGGGGAGAGGGAGAGAGAGTGTTGATGAACTGTGACCACATGAAAAGTTGGTGGCTGTTTGAGGCCACACAAAATCTGGTTGCGTTGGTCACTCGCTCTGTTTTCTTGTATGAATTTGATTACAATTGCTGCTAAAATATCTCGCAACAAAAATTGTTTTGTTCGTAGACTACTAGTTTGGTGGATTGAACAGTCATTATTTTGAAACAAATTTTTTAAACCAACTTCCCTCAGCGAGCTCGAGCTCATTTGAAGCTTGTTTTGTTAATGAGCCGAGCTCGGCTCGACTCGATAAGACTCAAAAATAGAATTTTTTTATAATTTTTTATAGTTCGATTCTTTAAACCTCTAGATCAGCTCATTAATATAGATATAGATGAACCGAGCTCAAGTTCAATTTCCAGCTCACTTATTTAACGAGTCGAGCTCGAGTTTGATTTCAGACTCACTTATTTAACGAGCCGAACTCGGCTCGATCACCATCACATTTTTGTTTTGCAAAGATAACAATTTCTATCAATTTGGGGGTGTGGGGGAGAAAAGAAAGAACTCTCCACTCACTCACCAAAGGGATAGATTTTACCATGTTCAAAGGGTACTAACATGAGGGAATTGGTAAAGCACACAATACTCTTTACAAACATGCTCATTTTTTTTCTACACTTCTACACAATTTACAATTAGTAGCACAACTGGGAGCTTTTGCTGTTGTAATAAATACCTTCACTGTACAGTAAACGACCGTAAAACAATCTATATTCACCGTGAATTTTTCACCCTATACGCTTGGGGGCCCCACGGAGGTTTTAAGCTTTAACCATCCAATCAACACAAAACCGAACAGGTATGTGTGAGTTTGTGTGATCTGACGGTTAGTTTGTTATTTCTTACATAGTCATGGGGTTTTTTTTAACCGTCCCATCCCATTAGCTTGCTTCTTACACACTCTTTAATCTCTTCTCTTTTTGTCGAATAATAATCCCATTCATCCAGCAAGATTCGGTACACTTCCCATTCTCGGTCTTCGATTCTGGTTCTACCTATCTCGACCTGAAAAATGTTCATTAAAAGAGAGAATCACTTAATCGACTATACCGAATATCAAATGTAGATATGAGATCATTCCTCCTTTTATAATAGTATATAGATTTATCTTAACAATATTAATGTTTTCTTGAAATAATATCCATCATAATATATGGTTCTAAAATTCTACTCTCTTTAGCTCAATTCTACTATATTCTGAGAACTGCATGCAATGATTGATGATAAAGTTCGTACAAATGCTGATCAACTTGTATTTTTTCAATATCAAGCAATGTCTTCAAGTAACTGATTGATACAACATCAATAAGGAAAAATAAAAATCAATATAAATGATTATATTATTCTATACAGACTAACTGATATGTATGTGTATGATTAAATATGTATCTTATCTTTGTTAAACTATATTAGCTAAAAATAACGAATAGCGAAAAATGATGGTTCAAACTATAGCTTCGCACTGGTTTCAGGTTAGATTCTTCATCGATTTGACTGGCTTTTCGATATATGTTCTTTTTCGGAAAAACCAGAA